GTCCTGTGATCGAGCCCCGCATCGGGCTCTCTGCTCAGTGGGGAGCCTGCTTCCTCCTCTCTCTCTCTGCCTGCCTTTCTGCCTACTTGTGATCTGTCAAATAAATAAATAAAAATCTTTAAAAAAAAAAAATAAAAAAATAAAAAGGTTGTCATTTATGAAAATCTTAGGTCTCTCCACAGGTATTTCTTTCAGAACTGTGCAAATAATAAACAAGAGTAATAAATTAATGCCATTAATGTCATGCTCTACATCTTTCATGTTCCATATTTCATGAATATAGATGCACATGTGTACTGACTAAAAAATAAATTTTTTGCTTTAAACCTTTTATTTCAGGGATTAAAAATAATTCTTTATATGATTCAAAGGTCCCTACTATTCCTACTGATTCCAAGGGAATCCCTTGGCAGTGCTGAATGTCACCTATGAGAGAGGAATTATTTCTTATAGCTTGCCAAAGTATTATTTAGCAATAGTAATGATTACATTTGTTTAAAAAGCATGTAAAATTGATTTAGATCAATTTAGATAAGGTATCTCTTTTCCTCTTAGACTAGGCATTATCCTGTCTTAGTTTAGGGGTTGCAGAAGTAAGAATTCTGCATTTACCAATTTATGTAAATTGAGAGTACTGCAAAGTGGTTAACTATTTAGACTCAGGAACAACTCAGTTCTCAGTACAAATACTTATTGCAAACCTTTGATACAAATATTTTCTATGAGTAGGAGGGTCCCTAAAAGCTAACAAAAAGTAACCAAGAGCTTTGGAGAGTAACAGGGCAGTATGCTCTCTGATGCTATCACAGCCCATACCTGTGAGACACGCAGAATAAGTGTAATTTATAAATAAGAAAACTGCCAGCCAGCCAGCCTATGGTCAGTGGCTTGTAAATGGAAGAGTCCAAATTAAAACGCAGGAATTTTGTTTTGAAGTTCAAATTTCTTTACCTAATGCCACCCTCCCCCAACCCCTCACCCCATTCGGTCACCTAGAATTTTGCCTTCGGGTATTAATCCAATTTCTCCTTAGGAGATGGTGGCCATCTATTTCCTATTCTGGCATGGTGAAATGAACATGAGATTTGAAATCCAAAGACCTGACTCTGCTTCAGTTATCTTCCTATGTACAGTGTTGGACGAAACACCTAGACATCCTGGGTTCTAATCCCCTCAACAAGAACAAAAGGGGGTTTTGCCGAAGTCAGGTAAGTTCTAGGACTGCAAGAGGTTATATAATGACATATGATGATAATTATATGCTAGTATTTATTTAAAAGTAACAAAGTTCTGGTACTCTGTAAAGCACTATGTATTCATTTTTTAGATGAATCATTCCAATGACTCCCAAAGGAAAGAGATTATAATTTTCCCCATTTTAAAAACAAAGACACTAACATAATAAAGAGGCTAATTTGCCCATGATCATTTAATATGTGCTAAATTAGGTTTAAAAATTAGACTGTATTTTGTATTGGCTGATAATGCCTTAAGATAAACCTCTCATAGTATATTTAATGGTTGATTCTAGAAGCACCAAACCCTTCAAGACTCAAGAATTGAAGTTAGAATAATATATAATGTTGAAATTTGTGGTAGAGTAATAACAAAATCATATTTTCCATAATACATCACTTGTGGGCCCAGCCTGACTCCTGTGGTCAAATGTAATATATAGTATTTCTGGACAAAGAAAGGACATTCTCTGTACTATGAAAATTCTTAGACAGGAAATTCTCATTTATAATGTCAAAAGGTGTTTTACCACATCAAAAAGGAAAATAGTTGTGGAAAGGTTGTAAAGAGAAAGATTTTAACATCACTATTACTATAGGCTTTAATACATTTTATTTTTTTCATCAAATGATATAAAAGTGCAATGTTAGACTCATCTAAAATTACTTTAAAAAGAGAATATATTTACCGTTTTTCTGTGAGCATAAGGAAAAGATTCAGTTTCCTTATATATTAAAATCTAATTTTTCTTAAGACTTTGAGTGTAGGTTTGTTTAACGAAGTTTACTGTTGAGACTAATAAAAACAGTGTTTTCCAAATGTACGTATTTAGGTCAGTTTGAGTCAAAAGACATTACGCATGAGGAACAACTGTAGCAGAATGACAGTATGACATTTAAAAACATGTGTTTAGTGGCAAATGTGCCTTACAGAGCCTTTAAACAATTAGAATCTTTTGTACGGAAAAGAAGGGACACCGATACAGAGCCCTACCACTAACCAGAACACAAACAAAAAGAATTCTATTGTTAGAGCTAAGTCAATGCATGCAGAAAATATCTTTTGGCATCCTTTTTAACCTATAATGAAGGATAAGTCAGATACTCCAAATAGTAATAAGTAATGAAAACCAACTTTTAAAAAAATGAAGCTATTTATATGCCAGGAAGTCTGTGTCCCAGAATACCATCTTAACTGGCTGATGAATAAAGGTGAAATGGTAAAATTAAATCAAAACTGTTTTCTTTTTGGCATTGATATTATAGCACCTAAGGTATGTGAAATATTCTCCATTTCTTGAAATAAGTTTGATTGGCCATTCCAAGCTAGTATTTCAGTGTACTAGATGAAAATACTTTAAAATAGCACCTGATATCAAAAGTAAAGTCAAAGAAAACAATATGAATGGTCTGTTGTTTATGTTTCTTATAGACCTTTGCGAACAATGGAAGTGTTAAGAAGAGAATAAGCAGAAAACAAAACTTGACTTACCACAAATGAATCCAGTAGTGAGGTAAAGCCCTATTACGCTGGTACTAAAAGAGGCTGTGACCATTCCCAAACAGCATAATAAACCTCCTACCATCACCACTGGTCGGCTACCGTATTTATTCACCAGAACACTACTTATGGGACCTGTGGTAGAGAGGAAATTAAAAAACATTCAGTTGCTGGGTCATTTACTTATTTATTTTTAACAGCTGTTAATTTTGAAAGCACATTTTAATGATAAAAGAAAAATATTAGTCCACATAGAATATAATGAAGACTTTTCAATACTTCCTAATCACTTTGATTGGTTATCTTTACCCATATATATGACAACACATAAAATAATAAATTAGAAGTGTTTAACATATAGTTTATGACCATAATCATTTGACTTTTGATGGAAAAGATTTTCAACAGGATTTGGCTATACTACCTAAATACTTAATAAATGCAGGCAAATTTATGTAACAACCATCTAGAGATTATAAAAATGACTTGTCTGTGTTATAACTTTATTTGCTAGAATAATACACGAGCACACAACCAGAGATCCTCTTAATTAGAGATTAAATTGTTTTTTTATTATACCACAGTATGACTTTTCTTTAATACCATATTTCCTTGATTCTAAGATACCAACTGTTCTCATATATTATGTTAGAAGTAAAGACGTCTCATATTTGAGGTCTGTTAAACAATCCCTGTTCATCAGGTGGGGGTCATAGGTAGTGATGGAGCTATCGCCGCTTGCTTGAATTTGGTTGTTATTTCTGTGGCTTGGTTGGACAATAGCAATTCCTCATTCAATCAAACAATTTAAGGGCCATTTGAAGGAGGAATTTGAATATGAACACTGACTATTGTCTAAAAAACCTTCTAGTCTTATGTGTGAAACATGAACACTGAGAACTCAGACTCAAAAACTAATTTAGGGGAGCCAGACACTGAATGGGAAGAGGTTTTAGGAATGCTTTACTCAATTTATTTAATGTACATTTCCCAATGCATGCGTGTGGGGTGTGTGTGTGTGTGTACATATAAAATGCAGGAGTGATTAAAATTATTAAAATCCTCTACGTTTCACTGTGTCTAAAAAAGCTCTTTTGGTAGTTATAAGATAAAACTTCTAAATATTAATAAAGTGTGTTTTATTTTAATCACTCTTTTTTTTTTTAGTGGTGCAATATAAAATAATGGTGCAACTTAACAACTGAGAGCATCTTAGATTCAGTGAAAGCCCACACTATTTTATGAGACCTATCAATGTGTAAATAGTTTGATTTGACACGTCTTTCTTAACTTAAAATTGTATTTCATCTAAAACAAGGGCTATTGCTTTGAGGGGAAAATATTACATTAGGTCAGAATTCTCAGTCCAATATTTAGCCTAGAAAAAATTTAAATGATTTTTAGCTAATACTGTAACTTAAAAAACTTGCTAAGTGCAATTTACTGCATTTGAGAATTTCTGCATGGATATATTTAAAATACATTGAGATTCATTTGTCAATGCAGCTTTATTCTTTCACACAACTGTAGTTATTGTTTTTATTCCTTAAATATAAGTTTAAAATAAAAACTTCATGGCCTAATACTACTCCACAATATGTTTTGAAAACTAACTGGTAAAAAGACATTTTTTTTTTAAAGACATAACGTGACAAAAAGAACTCAAAAATAGAATACCACTTTTGCATTTAATATCCCCCCCAAAATAAACTAAAAAAGACCATATGAAAGATAGATCTATAAAAACAACGGAACTGGGGGGGGGGGGAAATCAATGAAAATTGTTCAAGATAATGTGAAAATAATAGATTTTGGTCCCTAATATGGTAAAAACTCATATGATTTAGGAAATTAGCATTTTCATTAAAAAGCACACAGCTAAATTCAAATTGCTTTTGTGAAAAACAAATTGATTGGCTTTGATTAATTATTCAACTTAAGTGTGGAGTCCTTTTCTTAAAATTACTTAACAGTTCACTTTAATTCAGCTGAAATCAGTTCCATGCACTATTTCTCGAGATTCTAGTATAAAACCAGTTGACACATGCCAAAATAAAATAACAAAAACACAACTATAATCATCAACCTATTATAATACAAAGGCAGAAATTATAAAGTTATTTTAAGAACTGTAATGGATGCTTTGATATACACTAGACTATCAGAATGAATCCTAAGGCATTTACCAATTACTTGGACTAATAACAATTTTCTCAGTATCATTGCTATTATGTATACAATTTTCTATGTGATGCCTGGATAACTCACAAATGTACTAATTACTAAAATTTATAAATGTGTTTGCTTAAATGGTGTAAATTTAAATTTGAACATAGGCGATGAATCACAATTTGCAACGTGGGGTAAATAATTATATCTATAGTTCAGGATAATCACCTCAAGGCTTCTTTTTCCATGACTGTGATTAAGAGTGGCAACTAAAGAAAACATTTGGAGGGGCTGGTTTTTTTTTTTTTTTTTTTTGAAGAGACTGATAATTTCTACTGTGACATCAGTCAAGATGCAATGAGAGTTCTAATTTTAACAAATTATTTTACTTTAAATAATACACTTTAGTTAAGTGATAATCTATTAGACAATCTATAAGGGATATATTTACATAATTCATCTATAATTTTTTCTAGCAAAAAAGATACAATTTTTAGGTTGATTTCTTTAGAAATCAAAGCTTAATCAAACCCTTAATATGAAATACATATAAAATGTCATAAAATATTTCTACTTTGTAATAGTTATAGATCTAATTAAAATTATGATATAGAACAAAATATATTTATTTTGTAAAGAATCTTTAAATGCTTAACATTAGCTTGAGGAGGCATCTAACATCAGATATAAAACACAACGCTACCCAATACCTCTCTCTCTCCAACATACAAGCAGCTTGGTATATTGTATTAACAAGAAAGATAGAGTTCCAAGAAAATAAATAAATTCTTACCACATATGATATCTGTTAAACATGAACTAGCCTCACAGCTGTCCCTTGTTGACTAATTTCAGGCCTAATTATATTCTGAGGTCATTTATTCATTTATCTATTAATTCAATCAGGATGGAAGTTTCTACTCAGCATATATTTTTCAAGTAATCATGATGTTTAATCATTAGTTAAGTCAGAAAATTCTCTACCTGCTCAGAGTTACATCTGAGCCCATTTCTAAATAGAGCAAAGGTACTGTTCATCCAAATGCTTTGTTCTATACATTTGTTGAGCAGTTAAAAAAAATGATGTGCAAGAATCCTATTGTCTTATTTCCTAAAAAACGTTCATACAAGTATCAGGCTATATCTAAACCAGACTGATCTACCCACTAATTTCTTCTGCTCCAGCTTTCCAAACTATCTCGGAATTTCTAGTGTCAAGCTTAATAGTCACTTTCATGCTGGCCGTGAAGCTGTAAAGGAGAACTTCATCAGAGAGCAGTTTAATGATCACAGTGTCGTCACCCATACTTCAGCTTCGTTTTCTCAAAGCTACTTCTGTCCTTTATGGCCGTGGCTCCATAATACTTATTCTGGTGAGGAAGCTTATGTGCATTCTTACAAATTACAGAGAGTGCCCATTCTTAGAACTCCTGTTGTATTATAGTTGGTCACACACACACACACACACACACACACACACACACACAAACACACACTCCCATAACACTTATAAATCCTGTATTTCATCTGTTTGAGTCTTGTCCCTACATCTTATTCTAAGTTCTATGATGGTAGTTGCCATACATACTATTATTATTCTATAATTATTCATTAATTTATTGAGTTATTACTCTTTGCAGGCAGTGTGCTAAGAACTGTGCATGCATTATTACATATGATTTTTGTGGATATCTGATCATTAGAGAAATGTAACAGTTGATAAAACTGAGACATGCCAAGTGTTGATAACTTGTTCAAGGTCACAACAACGTAAGTGGTAAAATGTGGACAGCAGCCAGGGTCATCTGATTTATAAAAACTTATACTTTTCACTACTGTGTAGAAAAGAATTAACCTATCAGATGTGAGGCTTTTATCCTCAGAAAGGCCTGCTTACAAGCCTAGCTCTTGGCTGGCACCTGGCAACTTGGGATTTCAGAAGAGTTTCCTAACCGATAAGAGTGGCTCAATGTGCCTGAACTGTTTCACAACGTGGTTTATGCTGAACATTCGCCTTCCTTCCCAGAGTCTGTTGGCCAGCAACCCAACAGAAACCTCAAGCTCTGAGTCCCTAATGAGCTTCCTGATAGACAACACTTCACCTACATTGTCACAACTAGTTGCTGGATTAAGCCCATCCTTTGTGATTCCATTGGGAGAGGACTCTTGGAAGTTTACATTTGGTTTCTCCTGTACTTTGATCCATGTGCTTTTCCCATTCCTGATACTGTTTTGCATTCTTTCATTGTCATAAATCATAGCCATGAAAAAAAACATTGTTGAGTCCTGTGAATCTTTCTAGTTAATCATGAAACCTGAAAGTGGTCTTTGGGATTCTGAATACCATTACTACAGTGTATCTTTTCTAATTTCAAGTTTTACATATAGTTATAAGCAAGTGTTTTTTTGTTGTTGTTGTTGTTAAATATTTTAAAAATGTTTGGCCTATATATATATGAATTAGTCTATTCCTTTGTATATTGTTATTCTGTTCTGTAAACATGAACTCATAGTGCTTGTTTTTATTTCCATTGTATATGGCAAGAGTACAAGACAAATGCTGTGAGAAAATCTGGAGAATATGTTATGTAATGAACATTTCATAAAATATATTTGATCAATCTAAAACCATGAATTGGAATTGAGTATCAATTTGAGCTATATAAAAATTTTATGCATAGCATAAACGCTAACAGAAGAATGATAAACTGCTATAATTTATTTTTCATTTGCTTTATTTCAAATTTGTATATGTGGTATCCTGTCAAATCAAATGATAAAAAGCACTAGTGCAGGACTGGGAAAAAGTTGTTTGCAATTACAGAAATTTATCTGTGTTTACTACTGTAGTATTTTTCTTACTGACAGGAGCTTTCAAAATTTGTAAGAATTTTTGAAGAGATTTTTTTGGATTAAAAAACTGTTGCTATTTTAATTTGGACAGAGGATGGGAGCCTCTTCATTAA